TTTTTTTTTTTTTTTTTTTTTGGAAGTCTTCCTATGCATCTCCTATTTCCCACCCCCAAAAAGAAGGGTGTCATCCCCGTTTTTTAAAAATTAAGATCAATGCTTGTAGCTTTGGACTGGCAACCACTAGTATTTTATAGTATACTTTTTTTGTTCCCAGATATCTACTTTTCCTTATTTTCATATTTGCCTGCCTTCTTAGTGTTCTATGTGTACCTGCCCATATCATAAAACTTCATCACCCCAGTGTTTTGATCTGCTTTGACCACTGTAACAAAAATCCCATAGATTGGGTGGCTTAAATAGTAATTTATTTCTCACAGTTCTGGAGGCTGGGGAGTCCAAGGTCTAGGTGCCAGCAAATTCGGTATCTGGTGAAACCTGCTTCCTGCTTTAAAGATGACCATCTTCCCATTGTGTCCTCACATGGCAGAATGGGAGGTCCCTGGGGTCCTGTTCATATGGGCACTGATCCCATTCATGACAGTGGAGTCTTACAAAGGCCCCACTTCCAAATACCATTTACATGGGGGTTAGAATCTCAACCTGTGATTTAGATGGACACAAACTCTCAGACCGTAACACTCAGGTTCCCTTACCTTGAAACCAGATTGTGGAATCCTGTGGAGGGAGGATAATAATTTTAATAGCTGACACTTCATGAGTATGCCTCTAAGTGTGACTAACATGCAGTCTTGGTCATTCATTTAATCTTCACAACAACCCAGCACAGTAGGTAGGTAGGTGGCTCAGTATTGTTAATTTAATTACCATTTTACAACAGACTCAAAATTGGTTCTTTAACTTGCCGAAGGTCACACAGCTGGTAACGGGGTGAGCTGGGATTGAAATCAAGGTGGTCTGGGCCCAGGGCCTGCGCTCAGTCAGTGCTTTTGCTCTCCCTCACTCAGGCACTGTAGAGATACCTGTTATCACTTCTTTTTCTCCTCATTCGGTCTAATCCTTTGTTACCAGCGTCTTAGTGTTTCTTCATCAATTCTGACTCTTGCCTAAGGTTGGTATGTATTTGGTTTATTAATAGCGAATTGGCGAGGCTCTCAGTGTTACTCAGAAAAAATTGAGGTGAAGTCTTGTGTGTGTGTTTTGTATGTATGTACTCTCCCTACTCCCATTGACAAATAGGTTCTTTTATGATGCTAAAAGATCTCTCTTGTTCTGAAAGAAAAAATTCTTTCGTAGTGCTGTTGAAGTACAGAGTTAACATTCCAGATAAAAACTAGTTTTCACTTCTACACTTTACACTTAAGTATTGTATGGATCAGGTTTTCATTTTCTGTAATATGTTTACATAGCATCCCATAGTTTGTTGTAGACTTTCTGATCAGCCGTTAATCTTGTTTTAGAGAACATGATAGCCATTGATAACTTTGCTTTTTAACTTCCTAATTGCTGCTTTTTCCCCTCAACATTTTACTTTGAAAAATTTCACACAAAGAAGGGTTGAATGAATAGTACATTTACACACCTCAACTACTTGATCTCTCCCTGTGTTTGTATATGTTTTGTTGATTTCAAAACCATTTGAAAGTAATTTTCAGGTATATTGACATTTTATCCCTAAACACTTCAGTATGCATCTCCTAAGAACAAAGACATTCCTTTACAAATCCGCAGTATCAATATCACATCCCCAGAAATAAAACAGTAGTTCTGTAATAGCATCCAGTATTAAACCCATATTTAACTTCCCTCAGTTATACCCAAAATATCTTTTATTTTTCCCAAACCAAAATCCAGTCAAAATTCACATGCTGCATATGGTAAAGTCTTTTGAGGTTTAGTATCTTTAGTCATTTTATCTGACTTGGACAGCTTCATATGACCTCAGAAATCTCTGTCATGGGTGGAGAGTTGTAAATTTCAGCCTCTCTCTTCCATGCTCCTCACTCACCTTAATAGCTTTACAGTTCTCTTGAGTAGACCTAATAAAAATGGATTCTTAGTGTTGTTCTCTTAAAATGTTTTTAATAGAATTTTAACATCCTTACATTACTCTCAGTTTGGTCTGAGGTTTTGGCTCACATATTTTAAAATCCATGCAAAAGCTACTGAATTCTGAGATTTTTTTTTCTTGTTTTGGATTACCATTAATATTAAGTGCTTTGATCCTAGTTGAAAGGACTGTGCTAGAGCAAATGGACTGTGTACTTCCGGTGCTTGACAGATGTTTCTGATTGCCTTTTGTTTCTTGTTTTTAAAATGAATTTACTTATTTCTGATCTTTTACAGAGTGAAGTAATTGGGAAACTGTTCATTCAAGGATAACAGGAGGCGTTGTATTATATTTTGCCAAATTAAAGCCTTATTTATGTTTTCACCCTTTCTACTTTGTCAGAAACACTGAACAGAATTTTGTCTTTTCTAATCCTTATTAGACTACTGATTTAAAGAGAGAAAAAAAGCCAACTCTGTAGACACCTTCAGAGTTTAGTTTTATAATAAAAACTGTTTGAATAATTAGACCTTTACATTCCTGAAGATATAATAAACATGTAATCTTTTGTCTTATTTTGCTCAATAAAATTGTTCAGAAGATCAAAAGTGGTAAAGACAATGTAAAATTTAACATTTTAATACTGATGTGCACTGTTTTACTTAACATTTTGGGGAGTAACTGCCTCTGACTTCAACTCAAGAAAACACTTTTTGTTGCTAATGTAATCGGTTTTTGTAATGGTGTCAGCAAATAAAGGGATGCTTATTATTCAGACTTGTTCTAATTTCATTGAGCTTTAACAGATTTTATTAGCACTACAGACCACCATAATTTAGAACACAATTTGTAATTTCAACCTTCAGACAAGATGAGATATAGGTATTGTTGTTACACAATAATGTAATATCTGCAGGAACTCTGGGTCTTCTCTGTGGTTCTGTGTAACATAATTGTCCAGAAGAGCTGTGGGCTACAGAAAGAACAAGGCAAATATTTAGGGTTGAGGAGCTCTACTTTATTTTTACTATTACTATTTTTTTAAGTAATAAAAATTAACTTTTTAGTTGCCTACTTGCCAGGCACTGTGTTACAGTACATGTGTTATCTTTTTTTTTTTTAAATCCTCACCTGAGGATATATTTTTATTGATTTTTTTTGGGGGGGGAAGAGAGAAACATTGATGTGTGAGAGAAACATCAATCAGTTGCCTCCCAAACGCACCCGGACTGGGGACTGAACCCGAAACCCTTCGGTGTACTGGAGGAGGCTCCAACCAGCTGAACCACCCGACCAGGGCCATGTACTATCTTTTGTTGTTGTTGTTGAAACTTTTCTTCTTTAAAAAAAAATTGGATGAAAAACTGAGCCCTTCAGATGCTAAAAAAATCACTGGCAAATATCTGTGCCATTGAGTGTTGAAGCTTTAAAGTGCCTGGCCTCCCTGCTGTTTCAGTCATGCTTTTACCACGAGGCCTTTCCAGTTTCTGTTCTCTCTGCGTAAAACGTTCTTTTCTTGATTAGTCTTGACTTGCTCCCTCACCATCTTGAGATGTTTAAAGTCACCTTTCTTATCAGGTCTTTCTTGGTCACCCGGTATCCCCCTGCCTCCCTGTCCCCCTACCTGTTTTTGTCTATAATATTTATAATCTTTCAGTATATACTTGGTCATTCTCCAGCCCCCCACCAGAGAGTAAACTCCACAAGGGCAGGAATTATCTCCTTTGTTCTTTGCTTTATCTCCAGCCCTGAGAAAGTGCCTAATACTTAATTGTGCTAAAATATTTAAATGAATGGGTGAAATTTATTTTTATAGCTTGACGATTATCTAGAGTGCTGCCTCCCAACCTTTTCACCTCACAGCATATGTATCTAATAGTATTTCTAAGGTATATAGAGATAAAGTGAAGAGGCTGCACATGGCCAGGGATGTCTGCCTGGGGATTTGGGCTTCCCCAGGCCTGCCCTGGCTGCTTCCAGTGAACCATTGGGAAATTGATCTGAAGGCCAGATGCTGTATCAGCATCTTCTCTCTCTCTTTCCTTCACATTGCCTGTAAAGATTCTTATGTCTTTGCCACCTGAAAAACAAACAAAACAGAAATCCTATTTTCTATTTTACCTTTCCTTACTACTCTTCTCTCTCTTCAGAGCTTTGTTCCTAAGAAGAATTGTATAATCGTATTATTTTTCAACCTCCCTCTATGTTGGAATTTTTAAAAAATAAAATAATTGCAAGAGACTTGGAGGACTCAGTCCAGTGTCTTATTTGTGTCCCCTTCCTCAACATCCCAGCCAAATACGTACTCATCTTTTTGCCTCTCAAGTGGTAGGAAGTTCGCAACATTGCCTGTTCCAGTTAGGGACAGTCATAATTGTTCATGGTGATTAAATATTAAAAGTCTGTTCCTGTTACTTGCATCTATTTGTCCTACTTCCTTACTGCAGAATCAAATAGCAAAAGCTTATCATGATCCCATTTGGTTATTCCTCAGATATGCCAAGACCTCGCACAGCCCGTTCCCCTCTAGATTAAGTATCCCCAGCCTCTTAGTTGCCCTGAATGATGAAAGGCCACACTAGCCTACTCTTCTCATCATTTCCAACTGCCCACCTTTCTCCAGTGTATGTAAATGGTTCACTGGGAGAGAAAGGGAGCATCAAAACCAAGAGGGAGCCATGTGTCCTTGGTCTCCAGTGGCCCCCCTTGCCACCATTGGAGCCAGTTGAGGCAGGAAGCCCTAAGAAAATTTCTCAGATTGGGGAGAACATAAAGGGAGGAGAGAATGGCCAGTGTAGTTGGGGGCAGACTAGTTGCTCCCCCAGAACAGATTGGAGAGAGCTGAACGGGAGGAGTGGGGATGCCTAGGAAACGGGCTATGACCTTGTTTGGTGGGGCAGGGCTAGTCAGCTTCCTGCAGGCCGGGGATAGGGCTAAAGCATGAGGCTGGAGCGGCCCGCAGGTGGTCACCCAGCAGCAAGAGGAGGTAGTATGGGCACCAGTGGGCAGCTGGATTACCCATAATTTGAGCCGGGGCCAGATTTTCCATGTGTCTTGCATCCCAGGACAGACTGCATATGGGCACCTGCTGCTCATGGGGTCTTCCTTAATGGAATGTATAGGAAAAGAAGTGGCCACCAGGAAAGGGCTGTAGTTGTGCCCTCAGTTGAGTAAAGAGTTGTCCCTTGACCTGCTTCATTGACCTGCTCCCCTGAAGAGGGCAAAGGAGGAGCTGAAGAGCAGACTCGAGGTGGGAGATGGGTTAGTAAGCTGGGCTGGGCTGGGTTCATATTAACCCAAGTCAAGGGCGGTGCTGCAGAGTGTGGTTGAAGACCACGATGGGGACAAGAGACCAAGCCCAGGCTGTTCTACCAGCTGGCTGATAGGTGTTTCTGTTTCTTCTTGACTCATCTTTTGTCACATGTTTTTGTCATACGTTTTCATTTTCAATCAGGCCATTTCATATGAATTGGCAGAATTCTGTAAGACAGCTAACGTATCACACAACTTGTCACATGCCAGACATTTTTAAGCACTTACATTAATTTAATCCTCACCAGAATTTATTTGGAGTGTTTTTAGCATCATCTCCACTTTATAGCTAAGGGAACTGAGGGACAGGGAGGGTGATTAAGTTGTTCAAGGTTTCACTGCTACTAAGAGGAACCAAGATTCCAATTTCCAATTTAAGCTTTCTGGCTCGATTCACTTACTAAGACTCATATATATATATAGTCACATAATTATATATGGGTAGTCTTATAATTTAAGAAATTACTGTATAGTTCTCTTTACCTTCATTGGTTCCAGATGTTAGCATGTCTTCTCATTTTCTCCTGATTGTACTTCCCAAGGGATTGTCAACCTCAGTGGTTCTCAAAGTATGGTCTGCAGCCCTGAGCATCCCCAAGACCCCGTTACAGGAGTCAGCAATGTCAAAACTACTCTCACAATACTATTATTTGCCTTTTTCCCTGATGGTGCTAAAGCAATGTGGATAAAATCACTGGTGCTTCAACAATAATCACAACAGTGGTTCCAAACTGTGTCAGTAGTTATTGTATTTTCACTATTTACTTGCAGTAAAGACAATATCAGATTCACTTAAGCGTGTCTTTTCTGATTAGATCGGAAGTGATATTAATGAAAGTTATTTTGGGGTATGTATAATGAAATGTGTTAACATTTGGAAGATCTGGATAACGCCGTGAACAAGAATTTCAATGCACACAGTTATAGAATCCGGCATGGGTAAAAGATCCATTCAAAGAGCAAGTTGTAAACTCATGAATTTTAATGTACCACAGTGCAAAAAGTTCATTGATAGGGATTCGGATTCCACATTGCAGTTTATCTTTAAGAAATTGCCACTTGTTGAGTTTTGGTGAAATCTCAAAGAATATCCACAATATCTGAAATAGCTACTCCTCTCTTTTCCAATGACCCATCTGCAAGGCCAGCTTTTCTTCATATACTTCAACCAAAACAACTTACCGCAACAGATGGAATGCAGAAACCGTTTTCTATTAAGCCAGATATTAAAGAACTTTGCAAACATGGAAAGCAATGCCAATCTTCTCACTACATCTTTTTGGTTAATTTATTTGGAAAACAATGTTATATTTCACAAAAACGTTCATTCCGTTGGTATTTGAAAATAAAGAAATGAACATATAAATTTTTTCTTGGTTTTAGTTTCTAGTACATTGACTATTGATAGAAATAATGAAGGCAAAAGCTTTTAAAAGTATAAGGGAGTCCTGGCCAGTGTGGCTCAGTTGGTTGGAGCATCATCCCACACACCGAATGGTAGTGGGGTTCGATTCCTGGTCAGAACACATACCTGGGTTGTGGGTTTGATCCCCGGTTCAGGGACGTATGGGAGGCAAGCGATTCATGTCTCTCACATTGATGTTTCTCTCCCTCTCCCTCTCTAAAATCAGTTTAAGAAAAGTGTAAAGGATATACAAGAGAATATTAGCCATAAAAAAGAATGAAATCTTGCCATTTGTAACAACATGGATGGACCTGGATGGTGTTATGCTAATGAAAATAAGTTAGAGAAAGACAAATACCGTATGATTTTACTCATTTGGATTCTAGAAGACAAACATACAGACTCAGTCTGGTGATTGCCAGAGGGGAGGGGGTGGGAGGATGGGTGAAATAGGTGAAGATTACTAAGAGGTACAAACTTCAAGTTATAAAATAAGTCACAAGGATGCGATGTGCAGCATAGGGAATATAGTCGTTAATATTGTAATAACTTTGAATGGTGACAGATTAGTGCTAGACTTAGGACGATCATTTCATAAAGTATATAAATGTCAAATCCTATGTTGTACACCCGAAACTAATATAATATTGTATGTCGATGGTACTTCAATTAAAAAAAAGTGAAAGGAGTTCTGAGACCAATAATCTGAGAGCTACTGATCTAGTGTGTTTTTTCCCAAAAGTTTTTAATATACTGGGCAACTCAGCACTTTTTTGTTGTATCTTCATGTTTAATTTGCTTATGTTTTTGTCATTTTTATTCTTTTTACTTTTTTTGGATTTATTTTGTTACATTTTGCCAACTTCTTTTCTGTAAATTTAATTTTTTTTAAAAAATCAGCATTATTTTAAGGCCAGTATTTTATTTACAGTCAAAACAATTATCTTTTAACTTTCCCAGATATAAAGAAGCTAACTTATCAACAATAGCTTAATATACCCTTCTGAGTTTTATTTCATTTTCAAATTAGAGCATTTCTGGATTTGATGCATACAAAATT